ATTCAAAATACATTTATTTGCCAAAAAACAAAAACAAAAAAAAACATTATATTTATTGTATTATAGAAAATACACACAATATTTTTGGCAAAAAGGACAAATCCTCGATCAAATGACCGTTAACCCAGCCTTACATAAGTAGGGTGGGTGTGAAAATGCCCTGTGTTACACTAATTTTACACATATAATATACAAACAATATACTGGAATTTAATGATTTTATTTATTACGAGCATGAGCCATTGATATTGCAGAAAACAAAATGTATTTACTCACTTAAAAAGTCAACGTTCCGACGGATGGGGAGCACCGGAGAGGGGGCGAAGAGCGGCAGGAAGCAACGGACGCGAAGCCACACCGACGAACCCTCATACAGTTAACAACACCGAAATGCATCTACACACACATACAACATCTATCATCACATGCTCGCTTCTCCATCTTAATAAAAAGATAAATTTGAAAAAATAAATTTGCCAACAAGTATCCGTGCACAATCACACTCATTATTGTATTATTGTTCCTGAAGAAGCATGGCCATTATATACTTTGAGAACACTCTTTGTGACATTACCTTTACATCATTATTTAGACTGTTCCACATTTTAACTGCAAGAAATGAAAAAGAACGTTGAAATGCTGCACACCTATGTCGAGGAGTAATAAAAAAATTCTGGTTATGTCTTGTCCCGTAATAATGATTAAAAGTTAAAAGATCATTTTTCAAATACGGAGGTTTTCCTGATTTTATTACTCTATAGATGAAATTAAATAAATGATGTTTCCTGCGATTTAGCATATTTAGTATAGACAAATTGTTTAGGTAAGGTGTTATGTGGTTACGATAAGGTATGTTGAATGAAAATCGCATGCAGGCGTTCTGCAATTTTTGTATCGCATTTTTAGTAGTATACGCCAACGACCTCCCATAAACTATATCTCCATAGTCAAAAAGCGACAGTATGAGATTCTGACAAAGGAAATACTTTTGCTTAGGCAGTAAACATTTTTTTAGTTTGGAGATATTTCTTAATCGTATGTACGCTGCCGTCAATTTTTTCTTTATGTGTGGTTCAAATGATGATGCATTATCGAAGATTACGCCTAGATTATTTGCTTCGTGAACAAACTATCTCATTGTTTATACGGATATTCAATCTACGCTCAATATTTCTCCTAAGTTTGAAATTAGATCCCAAAATTAAAGCTTTTGATTTAGAAGCATTGAGTTTTAAATTGTGGCGTATGGCAAAACTGTTTACCTCTAGCAGGTCTGAATTAATGTGATTTTCGGTAGTGTCTAAATTGTCGTTATTAATAGCAATACAAAGTTGTGAGTCGTCGGCGTACTGATGAAGCCTTGCATAAGCAACAGCTTCAGACATATCTGCCACATAAATACTAAACGGCAAGGGCGAAAGGATTGATCCTTGAGGGACACCTTGCTTTACAGGTTTAAATTCAGATTTGAGGCAAACGGATTCTTGAGAAATCATAACGCAGCTTGTCGAGTGCTTAGGTAACTTTGTAAAAAACTTATTGCATTAGGTGAGAATCCAAAATAGCTTAGCTTTGCCAGCAGCATTCTGTGATTTAGAGTATCAAAAGCTTTGCTAAAATCTAACAAAATCATGCAAGTAGCAAGCTTGTAGTTACTAAAATTCTTCCTGAATCCCGATTGATATTGAGGAATGATATTTTGTGATTCAGAAAATTCCGACATCTGAACAAAAATGTGCTTTTCTATAACTTTTGACACAGAAGACAAAATACTAATTGGTCTAAGGTCTTTAAGTTCTTTAGGCTCGCCAACCTTTGATATGGGTTTCACAATAGCCTTTTTGTGTTAATAATATTAATCAATGCATTTGCGCAGAAAGGAAGACACAATTTTATGTCTTTGATGGATATGCCATCCTCTCCAATCGCACCTGATGAAATGGAATTAACAATTTTTATTAGTCCGATCTATCAAATGAAATTCCAAATTATTATTTACAGCTTGATTATTTTCATAAAAACTGTTCAAGTTTAATGATGCAGTGTCTCGCATGTTATCAGTCATCTGAAAAAAATCATGTACCTCAGATGGATTTAAGAGATTATCAGGAAGTTCAGTAAGAGTCCTCTGGTTGATCAGATTAAGCCTTCGCGCGGCTTTCCAAAAATCGTCTTGTTTTTTTCTTGCTAGTTGATTAAAATAGGTAACTTTTTTTTCTTAGCTGTCTATAATATCTAAGGTGCTGATCTCTTTTGGATCTTAAGTATTTTTTATGTGCTTTATCTCTAATTTTTATCAAAAGTTTTATGTTTTGCGGTTATCCAGGGAAGAAACGGCATTTCTATCTTAATTTTTCTTGTTTTTAGAGGAGCATGTTTATCAATGATTGTTAAAATATATTTATTAAATAATTTCACCTTTTCATCTACATTGGTACAATTGTAAATAATATTCCACGGAAGCTGCATACCATCATAGAGAAATGACTGTTCACGCATATTATTATAATCGCGATAAGTAACGTATTTTGGAGAACTGTTTATTTTTGGAATGTTGAAGACCGAATAAACTAAATTATGGTCTGTTATATTCTCGTCTATTGGTATGGCTCCTGATTTAACTGTTAGCAAATTTTCACTTACAATAATCATATCAATCAAAGTAGAGTGTGATGTCAACATATCATATCTAGTTGGCTCAGATATTTTTTGAGAGAGATTGAATGACTGCAATATATTTTTAAAACGCCTGGTGTGATTAGATTCACTCAGATAATCAATGTTAAAATCTCCTGTGACGACTAGACAGTCATAACCAACAGCAACTACACCGAGCATGTCCTCAAATGTATCCAAAAAAGCAGCAATGTTACCGGAAGGAGGTCGGTAAATATTAATTAATAACCAAGTTTTATTACTAATTCGAAAATGAATACCAACGAATTCAAAATTTTCATCTAGGAGAGGGATATCCAAATTCAATTTTGTTGGTTTAATATTTTTTTTAAACTATATAGCTACCCCACCCCCCCGACCAGCTCTATCCCGCCTTATTAGTCTATACCCTGACAGGGTATAATTATAACTCTGATCTTCAGTATTTAACCATGTTTCGGTAAGACATAGTAGGTCGAAAGAAAATTCTGAAGCATAAGAGGAAAACTCATCAAACCCTGTATTCAATGATCAAATATTTAAGTGACCTACAGAAAAGATGCTGTCGTCAGCGGAATCAGAACTGCTTCGGGCTCGCCGATGCAAAACCGCATCATCCATCGCCCGGCAGCCGCCAAACACCAACCCTCGCCGGACTCGCCCCACCCCTTCCAAAGTTAAACAACAAAAGCCATGCTCATACAAGAACGCGTAGTAATAAATATATTCAAACTATCCTAAATATATTATAAATTTATTATAAATGTACTATGAGAGAAATACTTAGCGACGACAACAATAATGCCCGGGGCTACTCACTTTTCATTATTACATATAAATATAAATATAGAAAAGTGACCGCTACACATAATGAATATCATGGAAATTAAGAAAAAATAGGCCTCTATTAACCTTTATTTAACTGCTCTAGAGAATAAAAGAACCCATTATGAAAAGGAAATACGCATCAATATTATTAATACAAATTAGGAACAGAATGGAACGATAACCAGAAGAGTAAAAAAATATAAATCTATAGTATGCACTCATACAATTTCCGCATATTCAAAATTTTGATTTGTATACATTATTCTGTATATTCACATACAGCAAAAACAGTATGATGAAGTAAAAAAAAACTAAATACAATAACAATTATTCTATAACAAGAAAAGTAAATAATTAGATTCATCACATAATGAATACATTTTCCCTTTTTCAACATATCCACAGTATATGGCATGAAAACAAGAAAAAGAAAACAAAAAATCAAATTTTTCTAACCATAGGCGCCAGATCGAAAGAAAAAACTGCATTAGCCATTCAAAAAAAACATCTTGGGTCAGTACTTACATTTTTAGGTAATGCACCTTCGAAATATTGGTGCCCCTGATGTGGATTAATAGCTGTACTTACTTTACTTTTTCAAAGTCATTTTCACTGCCAATCGTATGCACAATATTATTGACTTTGACAAAAATAATACCGTTATTCACCCAAGTGGTTTTAAATGAAAAAATGCTTATAGCTTCTCTAAATAGGTTTAGTCGACTCCTTGTCAGATCTTCTTTGATTTTAATTTCCATGTTACGGAGTTTGTTACGATTTTTAAGCACCTGGCGCCTGACGGAATCACAATTGAACTGTAGCCGGAGGGCTATCGTTGGCATTTTTGTTAGCGATACGACGGCACTTTTTTATGGCATCGTTAGGTATATTTACCTTCAAATTATTCACAAACAAATCCATAATTTTTTTGTCCAAAACCTCACCGTTCGTGAATTCTATCCCAAAGATGCGAACGTTCTGATTTCGCTCCAACTGCTCCCTGTGGTCAACGAACTTCCTGAGTCGCCTGTTTTCTGCTTCCAGGATGTTTGTTTGTTCCCTTAGGGTGTCGATGGCTTGCCTATGAAATTTTAGTTGTTCCTCGAACTGTTTTTCTACCAGAACAGCAACCTTGACCGCAATTTCGTTGAGGAATTTCTCGTTGAATGTGGAGGTTATAGCGGATTTAATTTCACGCAGGTCGGTAGACGAAAAAACCATAATGGCGGAACCAAAACAAAACGATATCAACGAAATCCAGGCTATTAAGGGCAACTAAACCCAAAGTACTTAACTTAAACACTGGGGCACTGTAACTACTGTTAGTCTAACATAAATATATTATTTAATTTCTTCGGAGACTGACGTTCGAGATTGAAACCAGTCAGCTACATATCGGCCACCCTGTACTAGCAGTATTTTCCTAATTGTATGACGTAAGCCCCAGAAGGTCTAGGTTGATTGCCGAAATCCATAATAAGACCAAAGTTGAGTAAAACAACAATAAAGTCTGACCAGTTTATTTATGACTAGTTGATTTACATTATACAAATATCTATGAATCGGAGGTCGTATCTCTATGTTATGTATTGTATGTATTTACCTTAAATGTCCTTATAGAAAACAGAAACGATGTATTGGTGTAAATAAATAATGTACATAGAAAATTAGTAAATAAATATAAATTAATACCTTATGCGTAATATAAATGTATAATATAACACCTAACATTTAACAAGGAAAATCAATAACAATCCAATAGTGATATGAGATATTAGGTGTGCATTTTCTCAATTTTTACAGCTCGAATAATTGTCCAAACGTTAGACTACGTATAGACAGATAAGTGGGAAAAATTAATTTAACGCCACATTGCATATGTTGAGCTCAGCACGATACATAAACCAGGAATTCGAACACTTGAGTTGACAGATGACTTTGTTAACTTATCTTAGAGTTTAATATTTTCTTTTAAAAATGGAATCTTGACAAATAGTGGGATTATTGATTTTATTAGTTTCTCAGTGCAACTTTACAGGGCATTGTTTTGTCAATTTCAGTTTGGAAAATTAATCGAAGAATGCAGTTCTTTAGGTCGAAAAAGTCGAGTATTGCGATGTTTACTATATTAGGACGAAAATGCATGCATGCATTCAATTTTTTCATCGTTTTTCTACCTTCTTGTACGCATTTCAACATATTCAACGCTTTTGGCTGCGTAATTTACAGCGTCGTCATATTGAAAACAATAGAAATTTTACATTTCATAGACTTTCTCGACCTAACTTTTTGGGAATACATGGTTCGTTTCATTATCTTATTAGGGCACTTGTCCAATCAATCAATAAAGCAATTTAAAATTTTACCTTAGATATGACCTAGATTACTACGCCGGAGGTCATTAGAAGGCTAAATTTGTAGGTTAAAATAGCACACACCACTTTCTGTAGTAGTAAATAAGCCCTGTGATGTCAAATCTCGGACTCTACAAGATGCACTCAGAAATGGTAGTTGTTATTTGAATTTACGAATTGCACCTATGAATGACAAATAGCTTTTTTATAACTTGAAAGTTTTGTTGAAACTTCTCAATGTAAAAATGGTTGCCGAGATGCTTCGTGAAGTTAAATATTGCATGTTAGTTATGACACCACCCCATATTCTTTTTATCAAAATACACTCTAAGTAGAGCTGGACAGCAAGCGCCCTAAGATTTAACAGAAATTTACGTATAAAGCTCGATTCACAACTTTGGAACCCCATTGGAGCACTGGGTGTTGACGTGCATTTACAGATTTCTGCCGGAAACGTCTGATTATGGTGACATTTAGACAAATAGTGCATACAAATAGCGTTTAAACTTTGATTCGGTTTGTAATGGCAAAATTACTGGCAAAAAATCAACCTACACCTTGATTAGATGGAAACTGCGCTAGAATGTTCGGTCTTGAAACGTATGCAAGGGTATGACGTCACATGACTTTTTGGTATTGATGTATGTCAGGGGTCGAACCATCAAAATATCATGTAAAGGAGCGCTATTCCGATTTGTTTTTTCTAGTGGTCGGTAACTTGTTGGTGGCTGTGTCTGGAATCCGGCCGTGTGAATTCCGTCTATATAGTGCAGCAGAATGAATGGAATTTGTGTGGCGGAATCCTGGACACAATCACTGACAGGTTGGCGATAGTTGTTCGATAGTTGGATATAAAACACAGTCTAAGGGAATGTCAAGGATGACAGATTTAATCTTACTGGAGCTGGTCTGGCTTAAGTTTCACACTATGCATTTATCAGTTGCTAATCAGCAATTAAAGATTTCTTAGTTCAGTCTTGCATCTTGTGTTTACAATACACTATTCTGAAACGCTATGTCTGATCATGTCTTCGTCCCCATAGCGGATCCCCAGTAGCGCAACATCAAGGCATAAGACACATTATTTATTTGCAATTGCACGCACAAGATGGAGATAAAACTAATACACGAAAATGATGGGGAAACCGCACGGGTATTATGTATCTCGAAAAGTGACATTATTTCGATTTTTTTGGACATTTCATTTTTTTTTGTTACATTATTTAGGTTTTTCTACAAGGTGTTAACTTAGCACTAGCTGATGGACACGTTGTGAACTTGTTTTGTTGAACGTGTTGCCTAAACGTCATGGTGCTTTAGTTATCAATGTTAGGCTCTGATGTGATGTAAAATCTGCTTCAGAGATAACACTACTGGAGGTGTAAGCTGTAAGTTATATAGCGAGAAGGAAACGGCAATGCATAGGTGCATCGCGAGAATTTGTGTTCTAATAATATGTCTCAAATACACTTACTTGAAATTCAAAGCTAGAAATTAGTTACGCATCCAGTTTTTCTTATTCATTCTGGAAATTACATATGCAAATTTACTCAGAGTTAAGAAAAGAAAATCCCTAGTTGGTGAAGGAATAGGTGAGAAAATATGCTACAGATAGGAACACTTAATAAAGTGAAAAATCTATTTTGCGATGTCAATAGAAAATACAAATCAGCGCCTAGTTGTGAGGCATTGCGAACATCTTTGATGTGAGATGCGTCATTATTAATTCGATAACGCTTAATTACACACAATGCGGGCGCGGTGGCGATTTCTCGTAGTACTCCCCAAATTTATTGAAAACTCAAAAAAAAACGGGAGAAAACTTGATTTATAACTTTCAACATAACCTGTCTTCAGAAAGGACAACATATAAATAACCCGTCGGGCATTCAATAACAATTTTCTCACACAGAAAAAATCACTGATTTTATACACATGCAGACCAATACACAATCAAGGATGCAAATATCACTATATTCGGTGGAGGCATCATGTTTACCAGCATCCTGCTCCTGTCACCTTGTTCTCAGCAGCGATTCCATATTTCTCGATAAAACTCAACCAAAAACATTTATTCTTCGTTAGTGAAGTTTGTAGTACGATCACTTTGTAATAGTAATAAATTCGACAGCACAAAAGACACTCTCAAAGCGTTCAACCACAAATGCACAAAATATAATCAAATGGTTATTGAATCTTCCCAGATGGTTTAAACTAATAGGAAATTATATTGAATGTTATAAAATTACACCTTTTTAGCTTGTTTTATATTTACATAACCCATATCACAAACGAAAACAAAACAACTCAAATGACAGTTACAAAAAATCATAAAACAACCAAACGTAACCAACAACAAATATCTTATCACTAACTTAAACGCAGAGTTAAAGTGAGGGATACACTTACCACAGAGCTACAGCTTAACTTAGAGGTAATTAACTCGGAGCTATCTCTAATCCTCACTTCAGCCCGAACGGGCAAGGTCAAAAATAACCTATAACATCTTGCAGACTAGGTAGTTTTTAGGGTACAAGCAGTCATTCCACGTTTGCTCACTGGGATCGTTGTGAGCGTCCATCAATGGAGAAACGACTCAACTATACGCATTGTTGGTTGCATATGTTTTGTGAAGCCGAGTAGCCTGTAGTCTGCACTGAGAGAAAAGTTGTTTGAATAGCAAGATCGAATCTGGATGATTATGAGTATTGGTCTGCATGCGTATAAAATCAATGATATTTGCTATGTGATAAAATCACTACTGAATATGCTGCCAATAAAGTATATCTATTACCTATACCCGACGGGTTATTTATATGTTGTCCTTTCTCAAGACAGCAAACACTTTGATCAGAATTACGGGAAATCACCACCGTTGTGTGTAATTACTGTTAGCATGTATATGACTTCTAATTCGACAGTGTACAGTGAATATAATTATTTCTTATAGCTTAGACCTCCATCAGTTATTCCATCTCTGAGGCAGATTTTACATCAGAGCCAAACATTGATAAATGAAGCCTCATGACGTTTAGGCAACACGTACAACTGCAAAACGATTTCACAATACGTCCATCATCTAGTGCAAGTGAACATATTGTCGAAAAACCTACATACTGTCACAAAAAACCGATACAATGTCAAAAAAATCAACATACTGTCACTTTTCAAGATACGTAATACCCGTGCGGTACAGACCACGGCTAGAGATTCTATATCAAGGAGATGAACCAAAATGTGATACGTCAAAACTTAATAACAAATAACAGGCAATCATTTAGTATTTCTTGAAATACCCAATGCTACCAGTGTGTCAGTCTTGGTGCCCCAGAAAGAAGACAAGTGTAGGAAAAAAGATATGGGAAAATGAGGAGAGGGAAAAATCTGTCTAATACACATAGCACATCCCAGCCTCACACCGTGAATCGAGCTTTCCACATTGAAGCACGCACTCCTCAACATTCTAAGCGCACAGTGAGTCACAGTATCTCCGTCTCATAGACCTTGGTCTCTTTGGCAACATTCTCCTGCTTCCCCACGTCTCCTCCCTGCTGCTGCAACTGCTGGAGCTGTTGGGCCTTCGCGGGCAAGTTGGTCAATGACCCAGTCACCTGTTGCTGCGTCGCCAGCTGCAGGCCCATCTTTTGCAGTAAGTTGGACTCGCTGCCGGTCTTCTTTAGCAGTTGGTCTGGGGGAATCCCCGCCAAGGCGTTGGGGCCACGTTGCAGTTGTTGAAGGCGGGCGTATTGTTCCTGGAGGGCCTTTTGTTTCTTTAACAGCTCCTGAAGCAAGGGAATCACTAATGTACTTAATGTTACAATGGTGATATCAAGATTGTGGTTTTGTTGATCGGATGAATGGATGCATGTCAAAGAACGAAAGAAAATATAGACGACCACCGTACCTGATGTCTGTGTTCCAGTTCCTCTTTCCTAGTTTTATTCTTTCCGCCATCTTGTGAATTGATACTCTCGCAACTGCTGCTGTTGCTAACAATATCTCCTGAAGCTACTGCTGCTACGACTTGCGGTTGAGGTGCTGCTTGCAGCAGGGTACTACCCAGGTTGCGTGGGAGAGTTTGGGATCTATCTGAGGGTTTGCTGTTGTACTGAAGTGAACCACCTGTTGGCAAAAATGGTAGATACGATATTGAAGTTATTCCGAACATAACATTGAAAATACAAAAGGTACTATAAAAGTTTTGCAATATGACTTAACAAACGGACGTTTGTTGATTTAGTTGTTTATTTGTATTGACAGTGTAAACACCATGGCATCGTGGTCACGTAGTTAGATAAGGTCAGTTTGACGGTCTAGTTCTACGCGTGCTTTAAGCATAGACCAGTGCTTAGAAGAAATGACGCTTGCATTAAAGAATGATCATCGTACGACTATATTCAGGTGGTACAGAGAATTCTAAAGGGTCAATTTCACTCTGGAGGACGCTGAGAGGGAAGGAAGGCCGCGAACGACAGTAACAGAGGAAAACAATACTGCTGTGAGGAAAATGCTTGAAGAAGACCGGAGAGTGACATACCTTCATGCACCAGCAATTCATTCAATTCTGCATGACCATTTACAGGTAAGGAAACTTTGTTCTCTCAGGGTACCGCATAGTCTGACGGAAGAGCAGAAGGCAGAAGAAAGATGCTGGAAATGTTTGATAAGGGTAAATCTCGGTAAGTGAACAACATCGTCACAGGTGACGAGACTGGATGTATTATTGCGAGGTGCCAACAAAGGCTCAAAACAAGGTTTGGGTCTTTGATGATGATGACACACCCGTAGATATCAGAAAATCCCGATCTGTTAAGAAAAAAATTATATTTCCCAAATCAAGCGGGATTGTGGAGCGTGTCCTTTTGTACACACAGAAGACAGTCACAGCTAAGTGGTACACAGAACAGTGCCTCCCTAACCTCATAGAGTCTATGAAAAAACTTAGTATTTGACCACTACTGGACTAAGACCCAATTTCACAAAACAACAGTCCGTTGTTCTCCACCTATAGGGTAACAGACCGTCAAATACAGCGAATGAGCTTCAAGTTCCAATCAACAAATTTTAGCAACCAATATCTATGAAACGTTGAAAACAAAATACTGTCAAAGTATGAGATGACAACTTGGCATTGAAACATTACCAGCTTATTGAATGTTAAGAAATTACATATAATTCAGTCAAAATTTTAAGAAATGTTTGATTTTTGTTTTAATTACTATTGTTGATTTTTTATTCATGTTTATATTATTTTCTTCAATTGATATGTGATACTGGGTGTTTTTTCCTATAAACCTCTTGCAGATAGCCATCAAGCACCTACTTGATGACAGGCTTTACCAAAAGATATTGCTCGTTTCCGAAATTTCATTCATTTACTTGCCATTCATCAGAACCATTATGGCACCTTAGATTGATATTCCCACAAAACCGTTCAGGTTTTTTGATATCCATACATCCATAAAGTTGAATATTTTTGTAATAATAAATCAGAACTTAGGACAAATTGGCTCGGTAATGACTCATGTTGGAGGTATTTTCATCCGCCTAAAAGTTTTTGGACCACGTACACCATTAATTTATAACTATTTGAATCTTCGCGAAAAAAAGATTTTTCCAAATTTGTCGTTTATCAAAAAATTTAGTCAGCCAGCTTGGTCTATAGTCCATTAATTTGATAGCTTTACCTGGAAATTTTTGAGAAAAGTTGGCTTCGATATAAACGTCCCGAATATACAGGATGAGTCACAATTCGTGACCAAAAATGAAAAATCATACACAGGACCGCATTTTGAGGGGTGTCTTCTATGTGACATTTTTTCTTCCAGGGCTTCATTAAAAAGAAGTTTAAATATAAAAACAGTTTTTTGTAGAACCGTCAACTGGAATGAACTAAAATTTTGTATGGGGATTTACCTAAGTATTTTCCACATTCAAAAGCACTTACTTCAAATTAACGTGCACAAGTGGCAGACAAACAGGGGGTTAGTGGCATTATTTTCCAAATAAAAATAGTACGCCAATTTTTTTTCGAAACGCGCAATTTTCAAAATTTTACCTCCAATTTGCTATAGATAATTACTCTTGTGTTTTTTGCCTATAGTTGATTGTCTTCGTAAAAATGAAAAAAAAAACAGATTATTCATGAAGAGCCGAGATACAGTTAGTTTTCAAAATAAAATAGGAAGCCTTGATACCACCTTGATGTTTCTTGGGAGATAGTCAAAGCTGTGTATACGGTTGTTATCGTCAATACTACCATTTTTTTTTTGTAAATGTCAAGTCAAAAGTTTATTTTTTCCATTTTTGAGTGTTGTGAAATGGAGTTTAGCAATGTTGAGTACGCCGATATTATTTTTGTGTACGGGTTCTGTAATGGTTCATTCCAGTTGACGGTTTTGAAGATATTTAAAAAATTGCTTCTTATTTTCAAACTTTTTAATGAAGCCGTCGAGGAAAAAATGTTACATAGGAGACCCCCCTTAAAATGCGGTCCTGTCTATGATGTCTCATTTTTGGTCACGACTTGTGAATCACCCTGTATATGTTGCGTTACAATGTAGGAAACTTTGTATGGAGATGCGGAATTAACTTATAAGACTTTGAATATGGTTTTGATTTGATGCTCTTTGGTTTACTGAAATGTTAAGTAATAGCCTTTAAGGGAATTAAAATAAGTACAACTAAAAAAGGATCGAATAAATCAAACGCATTTTTTTGTAATAGTACTAATAAATTATTATTATTATCAAGTGGAAATTGGAATTAATGAATAGCTACTTATTTTAATAACACTTAGGCATCGTAATGTGAAGAGAAATGCTTTTTTCGGTTCTTGTTTCATTTCATCGAAGAATTGATCTCATTGGTGCTATGTCGGGAATATTTTCTTGAGCGGCATAACCTATAATACCGATATCTTTATTTACTATTTACTAGTGAGTTTGCAAATTTTTGTAGCTAGAAGTCTTTTAATAATGATCCTGAGGAGTCGTCATTTGTACATTCACTGAATTGAATAAATATAAGAGAATTATGGGAATGATCATAACAGTAAATATTTTTCGAGTTTCCATTTTTTTCCGTCAGTAATATCTTCTCTCATCAAACTTTCACACTAAGTGATTCAATTAAATAGTTCGTGCTTCCTCAAAGCTAGATGAGTAAATTATGCTGAATGCATTGCAGATTAATTCATGTCTCTATCTCTTGAAGTTTTTAATCAGTACGACAGAAGATCTCGTGTGTCCGTGACACGTAGAATTGCTCTAAACACAAAATACGATGGAGGCGAGTGGGAGAAAGCACATTATATCACAATATTTTTTCAAATTCTTGCGAATTTTCCACTTTTTCGTTAAAATCTCGTTACAAGCTGAAAGTACTAATATGAACTTTTAATATACTATTTGACACGATATACCAAGCTTTTTCAAATGAGTTGAATACTACTTTTTAAATTAATATTTTAGTGATTCTGATTGTAGTCATGTTACACTTTCTTCAAGCTGGTTTTAATATCAATTTCCTGTCAGGAGACAAAAGGTTTTTGATCAAGTCTTATTGTAGTGGTTTATAAAAGGCGTTCAAGTACATTTCCCAAGCTAGTTCCATCTAAATATCTATGAGAATTTGAATTAATTCTGCTGATTTCCCGCTTGTGCGTTGTATATTTCCCACTAGCGTTGCATTTATAGAGGCACCCTGAAGAGATGCTAGACAATTTTTTCAGCACGACTACTTCAAAAATAGCTATTAGAAAATTAAACCACAGAAAATCTTACGTATTTAGCATTTTCTGTGAAATGCGCGTACGAGAGCTGCAAAGTTTATCCTAATATGATATTATATATATATATATATATATATATATATATATATATATATATATATGTATAGTTTTACCTGTAACGTTTTAAGGGGCTAATATTTCGCGAGGTTTCATTCAAAAACAGCGGTGACAGTGGCAATAAAACCAGGCAACAAAGAAAAACATATAAGCAATGACTGTTTAACCTTTCCCAAAATGCTACAGATAAAACTATCAAATTCATTGAATTGAGCCAGAAAAAGCGATTATCAAAGAATTTATGGAAGCTGTTTCTCTTTATTTCCGGTATGGCGACTCGATGAGAAAAGGTACTACGTAGCAAAGGAGAAATTCGAAAAAGCCTATCGAACTCTATAGGAACATTAACATTATTTTACTTCCCCAAAGCTCTTCAGGCATCAAATGATTGGTCTAGTGCGATCATAGGCGTTTTCATCATGATTTTAGGGGATTCAAAATGTCTCTTGGATTCGCTAAAAAACTTATTTTTTATATTGCAACTCTAAGATCTGTTTGGACGTGTCGCAACTATCACTCATCTTCTGGCTTGTTATTTTCACAATGTCTTTACTGCGTCCAAGCCTAAGATGGATCACAACAAGCACGGTTACGGCAGCGCTCCTTGGTAAACCAAAAAAATCTTATATTAGCTGCACTTTCTTGTAAATCCTACAAACGTACGCTTCCGACGTAATTTTGAAAATGTATTATATATTATAGCATTTTTTATTGCAAGCGGGTTCTTTATACGACATGACCATACCTTGAGACTGATCACCTCCCGCTCCCCCTTGAGACAGTCCCCTACTTCTCCTGAGCGTCTGCAACCCCAGATTCTGCGTTGCTTGTTCGAATTGAGACAATGCCGGCTTTTCCTCAACGATGGCTTGACTGTTGCTGCTGCTGTCGTCAGATGAGGTGCTTTGCTGTTGTACGTTCTGGATGTGCTGTAGGTTGTGGACTGCGGGGTTGTTTACAGAAACTGGAGCCCTGAATACAAATGTAAATGTAAAAATAATCTATGTTGGTGTCCGTCGGAAAACTAACACATCGGTACACCTTGATCTGAAAATGGCATCAAGCAGATTGACTCTATACGTACCACGCCTTGGTTGAGGGTTTCAAAGAAAATGGATGAATCAAGTCATTTCAAAAGGCGGAGTCGAATCGTGATTAGGTATGATAAATCTTCGACCTCTATGTATAAAAAGTAAATCTATCCTATTTCTGTTTCCATGGCAGATATAGGGAAATATGTGTGATCTATTAGATCTAACAGGTGCGTAGTATCAATGGGATCAGCAGCTTCTTGATAACAGAAGGTCTTTCACTGACACTAAATATGCAACAATTTACAACCATTTATCGCATACAGCGTCCAACCAATTTTTATCCCTCCCAAACAATGCCTTAAGATACGGAGGAATCTCTGAAACGTTGTAACACTATGTATCAGCCAGTTTTATTTTTTTATCCGTAGTTTCGCTGGGACTGAATCAAGTTTCATAATCTACGACTACCTAAACGATCAAAGAACTAAGCTTGCGATAATATTCGAAATTCAGTTCACAAGTTTTCTGGTGCTTAAAAATATATGTATTACACAAGTCATGTTTCTCATTTATGCCGGTCTTTCAGTCCGTATCCGTTGTATATCAATGCGTCATAAGTACTGATCTAATCTACTTGACAAAATATTCAGAGAACTATCATAAGCTGAGTAAGAAAAACAGTAAGGTCATCATTCACAAAAGCATCCCAGAAAACTAAAGTGGTACGTACTCCAAAATATTATTATATATCATCGGACCTTTATCATTTAATTTTCACGTTGTTAGAAGCTTCTTAAGGATATAACATCTTGACTAATACTGAAGACGTAACATCCGAAAAGAGCAAATTTTCTGGAGCTTTTTTTATTCTTTCTAGTTTTTTTCCCCACCACTTCGCCCCACCGGATCGATTTTCGAAAGCTGCAGAGCTTTTTGGTCCTCGACATAATAGTAAGCTTTCGTGAAAATTTCATCAAAATCCGAAAGGACCTTTTCAAGTTATAGAGGAGTCAAGAATTAGCAGACAAACAGGCAGAGGGAAATGAGTAAACATGGTTTTTCGTGATGCACATAATAATAATAATAATAATAATAATAATAATAATAATAATAATAATAATAATAATAATAATAATAATAATAATAATAATAATAATAATAATAAACGGCTTTCTTGGCGGAGTTTAGCACAGCTATTCTTACACTCAACCTGTCTAAAGAGTAAAGTTTAATGCTAGTTTGACATACAAATATTGTATTTTACATATACAGTAAACGACTGTCTATGAACCTAACTAAACTAGGAAATAATGGTAGTTGATCACAGGGAATTTATTTATTGATCCTATGCTGAATTCCTAGAAGATGTTGTCTGAGATGCAGTTTGAAACGGTTGTTATTAGTATTTGATATATCGATATTCCTACTATAGATATCATATAACATCCAATACACAATATCTCAATTTTGAAATTTTTCACGATTACAATACTTTTCACCAGTATCATTTTGGAGCTGCTTGAATGGAGATCTCCAGTAGTCATTTATCTCTGTAGGACCGCGGTATAGGACCATGTGGCACTGGTTTTGTGCTATTCTATATGCATCTGATATATTGATATCTCTACAACTTTAGACACTCAAATACGAAAATTATTACATCCAGATGCTTCATCTATCACATCATAACAGTATTGTCAACAAAACGTTATATATTTTGGTATGAATTTTTAAGTCATGGTCTCAAAAGCCTAATGATTAAAAAACAACAAAGGAAGTCGTTTTGAATACGCAATACAGGATCGGCAGATAATCATTGAGGTTCCGTATTTAATGTGTACATGCATTTTTTTCACTGACATCCCGTAATGGACGCATCATTGTTTACATCATAAGTACCCCATTGTATAAGCGTATATAATTGTCTAGGGCCAATTTCACCAACAACAGTCCGTTATTCTCCACCTATAGGCTAACAGACCATCAAATATAACGAATGAGCTTCAAGTTCCAATCAACAAATTTTAGCAACCAATAGCTATGAAATCTTGAAAACAAAATACTGTCAAAGTATGAGATGACAACTTGACATTGAAACATCACCAGCTTATTGAATATTAAGAAATTACATATAATTCAGTCAAAATTTAAAGAAATGTTGGATTTTTGAATAAAATTCAGGTTTTAATTACTATTGTGGACTTTTTATTCATATTTATATTATTTTCTTCAACTGATATGCGATACTGGGTGTTTTCTCCTATAAACCTCTTGCAGATAGCCATTAAGCACCTACGTGATGACAGGCTCTACAAAACGATATTGTTCGTTTCCAAACATTCATTCATTTACTTGCCGTTCATCAGAACCATTATGGCACCTTAGATTGATATTCCCACAAAACCATTCAGGTTTTTTGATATCCCTACATCCATAAAGTTGAATATTTTTCGTTGTTCAGGAACTGAACAAACATCCACACTATATTCAGAGCGATTAATAAATTCCCAAATATATGCCTTAAAGCTACCAGCAAACCTAAAACCTGCAAAAAAAACGACAAGTTTGCTATATTTTTCTTTTTTCACGATTACACATTCTAGGTTATATTTATATTAGACATTATTTGAAATTTGAATACAGCTGATTATTGCATTTCAAGGAGTGACACATGTGTGAGATCTGTCAACTCTTGGTACCAGTCACAAAACATATACTCTGAACGTTTAATTCCATGCTATTCAATGAGAACACGGTGACTTGTGTGGTTGTCAGCGGCCATTTTGTGAGGGTGCGACATGGTCGCTAGATTGTGCATTAATATCCCGTTTCACCCTTCTGGTCCCAGTGGAGAAAGTTCCGCCAACTTTTGAAATATACTCTACTATGCTTTATAACACTATTCGTGACATTTTTCCCAAAATCATTGCACAACACTTGAAAAAATGCAAATGAAAATCTAAATTATACTAAGTGACATATAAATCCGACCACCCAGTTTAAATGGTTTTATTTTAATAAAATTTTGTACAAGTACTTAATGAAGCATAATAAGTAAATGATAAAAATTTCAAAATGATTGCACTGCTCTAAAGCCCTTTGACCTTTAATAATGTGTGGATGCACCCTGATGTGCTACGCATTCTCCAACGCGCCTAGGCATGCTTCTGATCAGGTGGTCAATGTCCTCCTGTGGTATCTCATTCCAGGCAACCACCAACTCCTCTCGAAGTGCTTGTAGAGTCTGAGGAGGACGTTGCAAATTGAGCAATCTCCTACCCGTCATATCCCACACGTGCTCAATTGGGTATAAGTCGGGAGATCTTGGTGGCCATGGTAACAATGTGACATCATTATGTTGAAAGAAGTCTATTGTGACTCTTGCAACATGTGGTCGGGCATTATTTTGTTGGAAAGTTGGATCTGCCAGGGTGTCAAGATAGGATAAAAGATGGGGTTCTAGAACTTCGTGGATATAACGCTGCACGTTCATGTTACCTCTGATGATGATTAAAGGTGACCTGGAACCATAAGCTATAGCACCCCAAACCATAACTCCAACAGTGTGATGAACATGTTTATCAACAAAAAACTGTGGATTCCTCTTTTCACCACGTCGCCTTCTAACCCTGGCACGACCACCGTGCATGCCTAAACAAAATCGAGACTCGTCACTAAAGACAATACTGTTCCATTCCTGATCCCAGAGTGACCGTTGTCTGCACCACTCAAGGCGATTACGTCGGTGTTCTCGAGTTAAAGGGAGGACCCAGTGTATGAAAACAAGCCAAAACTTCTCATTCGTCGGTAAACACTTCGCATGCCAATAGGTCTTCCGTGTTCTGCAAACCATTCATCTGCAATGGACCTGGTAGTGGAGAAACGGTCCCTTAAGGTCAATAATCTTAGGCGGCGATCTTCACGATCTGTTGTTCTACGGCGGCGTCCAGTGCCCCTTGCTCTTTGCGTACGGCCTTCTCGAAGCCATGCCTGACAACACCTAACCACAGTGTCTACACTTCTTTGCACTCTAACTGAAATTGCCCGAAAAGAAAGTCCAGCTTCTCGAAGTCCCACTATACGGCCCCTATCAAACTCACTAAGTTGACGAAATCGTACAGGTCTCCGTACTCGTAACCGATCGTAAAGGATATCAAGAACCAACATCCGCCAACGTTGATTCTTTACTGCGGCTGAAATATTCATTTTTAGAGCGTTAGTGAACTAAAAAAACAGCAGTATAAAAACCGGAATGTCCAACTGATAAGGCTGAAAATTTTTTCACTTGTTATTTACAGTAAGATAAATACATTCACCAACTTTTATTAAAATAAAACCATTTAAACTGGGTGTTCGGATTTATATGTCACTTAGTATATTAATGTTGGTGAAATCGGCCATTATAATATTACGTTGTCTACATAAATAGACGACGTATACACCAGCAAATAATATTTCAATAAGGTCGCTTGCACATATGCAACTCTCATAAAATGGAGTTTTGAATAATTGAATATATATATATATATATATATATATATAAATATATATAAAGTTATAGCTTCCAATAAATGAGCAGCATTTCTAAAATAAAGTAGAATACCTTCTACATACACAAAACTGCAAGGAGTAATACACATGCATCGGCTTTAAGATCCATGAAACAATCAGAAAAAATGGCGTCAAGTAGGTTAACTCTGCACTTCCCACGTCCAGCCCAGATCAGAACATAAAGGAATATGTTCAGCACAAACTGGACTGTCTGAGAAAAAAGTTATTCAATCAGCCATACAATTAGTCTATAGACATTCTTTTCCTGCCGGTAGTGCATCTGGAAACGTCGCCTCTTACCGATACCAAACTCACGCAGAAATGGTACGCGATCCGTCTCTCGAGAACGTTTTTCTAATTTTTCAGGGCTAATGTACAGATAAATCTATGATATGTCAAATATGCTTAATAGGTGCATAGAATTGCCAATGTTTGAACCATGTACAAGTACCAGCATCAAAAAATTATGATAAACCCTCCCCATCCCTAAAAAAAAACGCAGTTTAAGAAGTTTTTTCGTTTTAGGCCTTTTTCCTCTGCCGGCACTAAAGCGATTTTCAAAAACTACAGTGCTCTTGCCTCCTTGACATAGGAGTATCGTTGTGTAAAATATTCATCGAAATCCGAGCTGCACTTCTCAAGTTGTAGGAGGTTACAAGATTAGCTAGCGGACGGACCAATGGACAAACAGACAGACATAACTGACGGAAATGAGTGACATGGTTTTTCGTTATTTACATGTCATATAATATCAAGAAAACATCTCAGTTTCGAAAATTGTCGCGATTACAATACTTTCCCGCCTGCAGGCAGAATTAGACTTTTTTTACAGGTAAAGTACTCGATGGAGTATTTTTTACATCTTGGCACAAAATGAACCCAAAACCACTGAATAACGACAAACTAAAATTCAACTATATCCTTTAAATGAGCATAACTATCAACTTTATAAAGAAGTGCAGTATCATCTTCTATAAGATATAACGTGAGCCTGGAACGTTGGACCTTACCTGGGTGGCAACCTAGGCGAAGTCGGCGACGCGATAGGCGACTTGCTAGACGTCCTTGGCGGCGGTGGTGGAGGCATCCTCTTTCCAGAAGCTGTGGTCGCACCTCCTCCAGACGCGTCCGTCCTCTCGGGCAAAGGAGGTTTGCCTCCTCCTCCAGAGGTCGCGCCTAGACTAGCCTTGAGAGGTTGGATGGGAGGGCTGTTGTCGGTATCCGACCCGCTGGGGTAAGAGTGCAGCCTGCGGAGACCGATGCCTCCCGGTTGGAGAGGCAGTGGTGTCACTTGCAGGGCAGAAGGGGGGTGATAGGGGTGCTGTGAGTCCATGCTGCCTTTACGCTGCTGGAATTGAACGAATCAAATAATATCCAAGAGATACTTTTACCGCTACAACTATTAGGGGCGGAGAAAACTCGCCCTTATAAACCTTGGCATAATACTTATATAAAGTCCAACGAATTTGGACTAGGTATTACGTAGTGAGTAGTCAGGATGCAAGCTTATGCTACAAATCGATCAGGCTTAAACCACCAGTATGACAGTTGTTGACATTTCACATTAAATTCCTACTTTTCTGCGAAAACATATAAAAGTGCGTGGGTTCCATACAATCCTAGTGCTCCAGACAGTTGCCGGAAATGGCGAAGGTTTCTGTGGATTGGAAAAAATAGTTTGAAGTGTAAATCATTTTATCGATGTGTTATATTTTAGTCATTGGCCTTACGAAAGGGACACCCTAATAATAAGTTCACAATCAATGAAAATGAGCAATATGGACTTTACAAGATTTTTTTATTTTGATTCGAAGTTATCAACCATCAGCATCAAGTTTAACATTCATTTATTTTTTATTTCGTAGATTTGTCAGACCACAGTTATAATATACATCATTCAGTAAAATGCAATATGTTTTTTTAAATCCCAAATATTATTCAAATATACGTAAATCTAAGTAAAATCTTTCAATAAGACTAGGTAAATACTTTTACCGAAACTATTTAAACACATTTAAATGAATATAATTAATTTGTTTTACTTGGAGTAGGTAAGCTAATTTTGATAGTTCATGGATCTTAAATAAATTGGTGTACTCAGTTTAACTAAACGGTTTAATGAATTCAATTCAACGTTTCCTTTTTTTCTTAATTAGACTATTTTCACAGATTCAACTGTTTTAGAAATAGGAGTTCAATTAAGCTAATTGAAGTTGTTAGCATAGCATAGCTTATTGAATTTTTTGATTAGAATGATTCAAATCCTAAATAGTTTAATGCTTTTCAGTGTACTTTTGAAAGATAATCTTACCTGTTCACTTTCTCTGTTAGCGACACTTCTTCCTCCTCCATCGGTAGCTGAATTCCCTGGCGGTCCAACAGCCGCAGCTGTGGCAGAAGCCGAAGCTGGTCTGGAGAAGGTTTGCAGCTCATCTAGCAGAGCGTCGAGTGCGTTCTCCGGACGGCAGGAGTTCCCGCCGGCCCCCCCGCAGGACCCGCTTTCGCTGCCACCGCTTGGTGACCCGCCCCCAACTGGTGAGAGGGAGGGGTCTCCCCCGATTGTGACCGACCCCAGCCGGACGCCCTATATAGATTGTTGGTAATGTGTCAGAAGTGGGATTGAGATTACCTTAGAGCACGAAGATGAGGCGCCACAGAGCAGCTTTAGAGGGGTTTTTAACATAGTCTGTAAGCTAAATCGGGCAGGTGATTTATAATGAAATTTTTTTTTGTATAATTGGAGCCCAACGTTTGTTTTGTCGATCGGAAAAATATTTGGTGCACGATGCGAGGCGGGCCCGACAACCTTAATACGCCTACTAATTACCCAATTTTTCCACTTAACATTTTTTCATGGACCAGGTGTTTGTATACAGAGTAATTCAGATTTTTTTTAATGTTATGCTTTTATCATTGTTCGTCCTATACTGCCATACGTAGAACCACTCCGAAAACATATTCCTTTATCAATTTAAAAATGTTAACTGTTAACACCCTATATCCCGATAAAGAGGCAATTGGAGACCCACAAATACTACCAATGCATCTGGAATCACCCTATAGGTCGGCATACTTTCCGATATTTTACTAAAATAACTGTCTCAACTCATGGTCTAATAAATTAGGTACTGATTACTATTCCTTTCCCTTCAAATCTTTTTATAGCATGTCATAAAAATATGTTACTGATAACCCAGACAAAATTTAAATTTAGGAAATAACTGAATTTGGTAATTAACATAGATTTTTCAAGATTGATATAGTTCATTCACGTTTTTCGCTAGGTTGTGTAGCAGCTAGAAGGGAACCAGCTAACACAAATTTGATCGGGCATCCTTTTGGTGTCTATTACTATATCGAATAAAGGTAACTTTCCTCTCATCTAAGGGAAGCTTCTACGACAGAAGTAGGATTAGATTCTTAGGTCATAGCGTGGAAAAACTTATAAAGTCACGCAAAAATTTCTTACGTAACAGCTTTAGACCGAAATTTTACGTTTGAACTTAGGAGGTCAATTTATGCTACTTCTTCTACAGGTGTAACGTACTTAAATGGACATAGTAAGGTGGTATGTAATTTAGACCGAGATATTCTTACATCTAAAAATAAAAGGTTTAAACTGGTTATTTACGTATGTGATTTATCTAAAATATCACATATCTCAGGCAATGTCGAACGGATTTTGTTGAAACCTTACACGACAACAAAGTTACTTACCACTTTTTTGTATTCTTATCAAAATCAACACCTTTTAAGCTATCTATTGAAATGCTTAACTGTGCAAAAAAGCCACTGAACGGTGCTAGTTAATCAGCAAAATAGATTGACTGCGCCCCTTTTAATTTTTTAGTTAAACATTTATTTATTCAAATATCTTATCAGATTATGTGACACAAAACTCAAAAACTCATTAACTTGGTTTCAACAAAATATTTCTTGAAATGGAACTAAAGTTGCTTTAGAAACTCAAAGTTCAGTTTATTTAATTTCCTTGTGTTTTAGTGTAAGTCATACGCTGAATTTATTATTATACGATATCACAGAAAAGGAGAAACAGATGATATAAATGAAGAGGAAAATTAAATTATTTACTTTTGTTGGTAAATTCAATCATTTCTATTAAATTTGGAACTCCATACTAACTTGAAATTAAGTTAAAAGTCCATAAAAGGCAGAATACGCTGGTCTGGACTTTAATTGTGTGATGTACCATGTGTGCATGGTATAATCTAATGGAGGGTTGTGAAGCGAGCTCCTAAGCGTAAATATGCTGAAAATGCTGAATTCGGACCCGTATATAAGATTTTTCTACATTTTTGTTATAATCTTGAAGTGGTCTGATGAGTCAAATTCAGTGCATTTCAGTACTAAGTGTCTGATATATGTGATATTAAGCGTTTGATGAGCTCAGATAAATCCGTTATGACTGAATTTATCACTTCACTATGTCCACTTGAGTACTGAACACACTTGTAGATAGACAAACTGAAAATTTATATACTTTTTGTAGATTAAATATTGATATTCCGTAGAAGTAAACAATCTGATGGGACAAGAAAATTATCAACATATACCGCAAAAAATATAACCGTTACAGATATTTCATAAGGGTTGTAAGATTAAATATCAAATATAAATAACATTGGTAAACATTTAGCATTCCTAATCTACTGGTCATCAAAACTACTCAAGTGTTTCTAAAATGCCGGAAAGGATATATGTACAAGGCACCTGTGTGCGACAAGATATAAAATACAAACTCTCAAATATGGGGAAAACACTTTTCCAAAAAAAGACTCAATACACATGTATGTCAAAATAGTTAACTTACACCTTTTACATCTATACCTATTAACTCTGATTAATAGTTAAGGGCCGATCAGTCTATAAAATATTTTAGATTTTCGTGGAACGCTACATTGGTGCCATAATTATAATGGGACACTAAATCGTGCAACATATAGCATGCAATAGTATTGAGCACATTCAGAGAAGTACAGCACTTAGAAAGAGCTAGGCCAAATCGTTTTTTGTAGTGGTAACATCCGATTCCATGGTTTTCGATTCGGAACTCGAAACTGATTCCTGTGATTCACTCACGATTCCTATCGATCCCGGTCGCGGCAATTCCAAGATACATCATCGGTGTTAATGAGCGTTACAAAAGAGGGACACTGGAGTGGGAACGGATTTTCGATTTCGATGCTCTCGATCCCGAAACCGGAGCTCAATTGTTTCGACACGGGTTGATTTTTACTTTTTGGCCAGGAATTACTGTGATCGAAAGTGAGATATGTTTTTTGGATGTGATGTGACAAAGGTATATCTCGACACCTGTTTCCGTTGGTCTGTCTGTCTGTATGTGGCTCCACTAATGATTGGCTCGTCTATAACTTGGGAAGTACCGCGCAGATTTTGAGAAATTTTCACACAAGGTTACTACCATGCAAAGGACAAAGAAGCCTTATAGATTTTGAAAATCAGTCCAGTGGCGGCGGATAAAAACGGTAAAAACGAAAAAATAGGAAAAACTTAATTTTTTGACGTTTCATGTGATCCTATATTCAGACAAAAATTTGCAGGTTTTTAAGATGAGATGTTTGGGGTTGTAGGAGATGTGGGAGAGTATATGTCATTTTTTTGTTGCTAGCAATTTATACGATTCCAGCCCTGGTAATTCTACCCACCTATTAGGCATAGGTAACACCTTTGATTTTCCCGTATATTTGCGCCTAAAATTCGAATAATAGAGATAGCCGACTTGAGGAACGTCGTTTAGATATTTCTTCAAAGATATTCAACCAAATTGAGTCACAGAAGAACTAGAAAGACACGATAGACGAAGAAGACGTGTCTGGTGCACTAAAAAAACGGCAGATATCCTTATGCTCGTTTGTCGCTTTGGGAGGCTGGACGTTCTTTTGGGACCGGGAATGATTACCCCAGGTGGTCCCAGGCTTTCCTGGTTAGCGCGGTGCCATCTTAAAATTGCAATAATGACTTCGGTCAATCTCAACATCTTACAAGAGCGTTCAGACTATTGTAGTAGAACACATAGATGTATGGATGTGAAAAAGGAAGGGGGACAGAAAACAAAATAAATTGTCACAGACGTAAAAATCACAGGACAAATTTGAACGAAATAAATTTTTGCCATTCTCTCTGTGGTATCTTTGGTTTGGAACAAATAAATGCTGACATGAGAAGCTAAGGCACTATTGTCTTTTGTATGCGTCCGTTGACATGCACATAACACACATATTAATTAGTCTCTAAAAGCCTGCTACAAACTTCTGTCAAAGCATTGGTATAGATTTTTAAATTTTTATTTATTCTGGCCGGATCATTGTGTATGTTATATGACCCGCTCGAAGCTTACCGTCGTTTGTAGTTCGGGCTGCTATTTCTATTTGATAATAGAGCAATTCAATAAATTTTCATTCGTGACGACTTTATTCTGAAACTATATTTCAGTTATCCTACTTTAAAATGTAGTATGAAAATGGTTGATTTGAAAATCGTTGAAAACATATCAAATTTTTCTTCAAAGTAGATAAAATTATTTGTAGAAAACATGAATGATAGGAGAAAACAACCAACTAATTTACCCTTATCTGCTTCTAGAATTTAAAATATTTCGAAGCTGCTAACCTTTACGGAATACTATGTGAAGTAGGTATAATATTAACGCACGGACCATTCGACTTTCTATTTTTATGAAAGGCTCTATTACATTTTTTCAGTAAACAAATATAACCAAGCATCATGCAAACTATAACTAGTGGTAAGCATAAACATGTGTACATGAAAAGCATCAAACATGCATGCAATATCACAATCTTTCCCTTATAGTAAGGTGGTTAACTTTGCCAACTTTTATCAACTACCAACAATTTCTTTAGTCATCAAGTGTTTTCAAAGCGAATAAGCTACATTCTAAAGCTACTTTCTCACTTTGCAATTAAGTCCATGTGAAATGTTGTCCAGATTTTACCCGCATATTAGTCCAAAATATTTTGAATCTTGATTGAGTCAAACATTAGTACACCTTCATACATGCAAAGGTGCTCTATAATAATTCAAGGACCAATCCGTTGATTAGAAACTTTGCGTAACTTTGAGCGTCAGTCGCATTGCTGAACTAATGTATCTCGCGCTTTCGGTATTGAATCTCCATCTACTTCTAGTCTTGGAACTTAAGGGAGACTCTGGATAGGTGAGATTGGTTCTTAGTTTCATTGTCTGGTTCATTTTAGCTAATCCCAGGCTTCTGGGATTCCAACGACATCAGTTAATTTCTGTGATTAAATTTGATTTTGGGAAAAATACGTAGGTAAAGCAAACTTTCGCATGGACTTATCTTTAGTTTGTTACGCATTTTCCGTAACTGCCTACCTGTGTGCTCTGTAAGATGCCGGAAACCTAGCAGTTTGGACTCCATAGCCCACTATAAGTTTAACTTACTTGATCTACAATATTTCAACGTAAGTACAAAAAATAAAAATAGGGTCTTCACCACAATTGCAACAAGACCTGGATTATAGGCTAGTATCGTGTTAGTATTTTTATCATCTGGTGCCTAGATACCCTAGTACCGAATTTTTATGTATGGCATTGATTAAAAATGTTTGCCCAAGTAACAGGTGTACAATATCTCAAACGATCAGCCTATCAAAACTTGTAAATAGAAGAACTATTAAAATTTCACTAAAGACGCAACCAACTCAGTTTTGGAGCTGAAAATTCAAACTGCTAGGAATACGTACTTTCTACCGCTACAGCGAGTATCTGATTGTTCACAAATTTTTGTCTAAAATAAATTACAAAATCAACAAAATACTTTCTACTTCTGTTGGCTACTACAAAATATATACCGGCAAAGAAGTATACCTTGGGTTTATATGTCTATGAGATAAGCGTTGCCATCAGCTACACAAAAGGAACAAAAAAATAAAGATCAAACTTCCAAATTATTTAAATCATTAATTTTTTGACCCTTAAGAGTTAATAGTCAGAGTAAAATGGTGTAGGTTGTCCTTTGTATGTCATTTCCAATGAAACCTTACTATAAGGAAAAGCTATTGTGAGCACAGATAAAGAAGTTAGTTTAAGCGAGAAATGTTGAGTGAGTTGGCTCATAATTTATTGGTCTTTTAAAATGTCACTTTGTTTCAGGGTCAGTAATTTAAAACACTCTCGTGTTATACTATCAAGATATAACTTTAAGCACGACATTGAAATTACGTTATAGCATACATTTTCAAATCAGTAACGAAATTCATTTTTCATCAACCACCAAATGATGTCACATGCTTGACAACATCACAGTTTCAATAACTCATTATTAAAATTATTTCCATACATCAAAAAATTCCCCCAGATCCAAAAATCATGTAATTCAGAAGTAAGCCTCTTCCGAAACATGTGGTTGAATTAGAACTTATATACACTACCACTAACCACTAGTTGGAACAAACTATGTTTAAAAGGTGAAAACAATATCTACAGTGAACAAAGAATATCTCAAAAAATTGTGATGTTGCCAGACGTATCGAGTTTGTTCATATACGTAAGTTCAATTTAAATGAACTGTTACAGTTATGCCTGTAAATAAAAACATGACTAAAAATACTAGCAGTAGAAATTCAAAACGTACAGTAGGTTAAATTTATCGCAAGATATGTACCGAAATAGAAAGCTGACCAAAACTTCAACTTGAGCTAGCTCAATATTAAAAATCTCGATCTTCAAAGCCGATGAAGGACGCATATAACTACTAGAGATTTTGGATGCGGAGTAGCATAAGAATGTTGGTATATCAATGTTAAAAGCCTATTGATGAGGGCATATAACTACCAGAGACAATGTTCACCTTCAATTAAGGTTTCTCTAAGATGGGGCAATGAAATGATAATAGGGCAATGACTGTACGTACCTATTAGTAAGTCAATTTATATAATTTGAATCGTATATTCAGTAAAACATCATAATTTCGTTGACTTTATAGAGAGGGAGTGGCTAGTTCCACTACTGTCTTCACTGGACTGCAATAAACAAGAAAATTAAAAAAGGCGTAATTGAGATTGACAGAAATTAATGGTCATGTATGATATTGTTATTATACAAACTAGCATCACAAATTGTACAGTGATTCAAGTATTTTGTTAGAGTCGAATGAACATATTTTGTTGCAGCTCTATCGAAAGGCGAAGATCAGAGTAGTTCAAATGTCCAGTTTGCTTAAGTCTCACCTGCCTAGGATTGAATATATTTGCAATAGATGTGTGAAGCATAATGTTGACTACATCTACAATATAGTGGACTTCCAGATAAACGTTGTGAAAGCAGCGTAGTGATTAAGAAAATGATATAGAACATGCTGAGTCAAACTTTAGAAATCTTATCTGTGATATACTTTTGAAAATAATTATTCCTGGAAAAAGGTCAAATACTTCAGTGTATGTACAATGCGTTGCAAAAATATCAAAGGTATAGCTTGGTGCTTTTTCAAGTGCTGGAACAGACCAATAAATTACAACAAGTGTTTATGTCCGTAAATTCCCATAATTTCAATGAGTAATCAAGAAAATGGTATCGTTAAAAACAATTAGGGATATGTTTTGAGTACTGTGAGCAAGCGTTCTGAATCTTTGTGTCTCTGTTATATATTGCTTCGATATTATGCGTTTTTCTTATCATCTGCCACAATGTTTATCGATTTTATTAGACTCTAATGATGAGAATACCCAGAGTAAAAATCAAATTTGCTTTTAAAATGCTGGATTATTTTTAATGATAATCCAATTCCAATTTAGCTAATTAGGATCAACAACAGGTTAAGATAATGTGACTATAGTCATAACATTGCATTCGACTGTACTATATTATCACATGAATTTACGGACATAAACAAAGACAGACAGAAAGTAGTCGTTATTGATACGAGTATATCATTGGGTATGAGCCTGAGCTCACGCACAACTAGAGAGCAGAGTTATATCGTATGTAATATAAAATAGACATAGGCAAGCAGTATATATAACGAAAATGGAAAGAAAATGGGGAAATCTTTACTCATGAGTGGTAATAGCCTCCTTGAAGTTGGAGCTCCACTTCCAGTCATACTACAATAAAAGTGTGACACGTCAGTATCGCATGAATAAAAGAAAATGGCTGCAGGTCTATGTGTCATATATCTCATCTCATCTTATATATATGTTTTTGTGTTATATTCATCTTCACACATTTCAAACTTGGAATCAGCCTGTTATTACCTATCCGATTTGGTGCTACTCTTTTTGAAAAAGCATTAAGTTTATTAGCTCGTGTTTAAGATAACGTTCTTTTATGGACCTTGTATGCATGACGATTAATAAGACCTTCAGAAGAACTGAAGTAACCAAGATTGCTTGACACCGAATTGGAATCTTCAAAGGTTTGAATATAGTATAGTATATCCATGTGATGAACCTACAGAGATTGTTCGTTTTAAAATTCTGATTGCAAGTGAGAATCGGTGAAGAAAATCTACAAGTGAAAAATATGTAAGCCTTAATGTAAGTGTTGGGTAGGTACAGGTATATGTATCTACGGGTGAGGTGTCTTAGTAAGGTTGTGGTATGCTAACAATGATAATTTATTATATACACAATTGAGTAATTTCACAGTAGCTGTCGCATATGTTCACTTGGAATGATTTGATAGATGCATATTACAAGTCGGGTTGAAACTATACTTTCTACATGAGTTTGCTTCACACCGCTTTACATAAAACACCTACTTCACGATAATTTCTCTTGCAATGTAAAGTTTGACATTATGATTTTCGTTTGTTACAAGATACTCTTCTAATGTACTGTAAACGCATCTGATTCCGAAACAAAAAATTGTCAGCGTCATACGAGTAAGTTTAGCTTATGAGGTAAGATGACTTATAGTGCCATGAATCATTTTTTTACGTCACCTTAGCGTCGTAATGAGATAAACCTAGAACAAGTGACAATAGAGCACTTGACTGAACCTTACAAGAAACAAATGAATCTGTGTCGCATATACGAGTACATACAAAACAACGATCATGCATAAATCCATGATAAGGGGTATTAGAATAAACCCAAGTATCACACATAGTTTCAACCAAACAAAGCATGATTTTGTGAATGTGATAGGAACATTTCTGAGGTAAGCGAAATGTCTCTAAAAGTGAAATGGAATAGTTAAGGTAACATTGGAAATGGGTGTAATATACTGTCACAGGTTACTTTTATATCATATAGAACATTTTCGTAAGATTGTACGGTTAGATTAAAGCAAGCGACAGGACTATATTATATATTTTACTTTGTCCTGTAGATTACTTAAGAGATTTCAATAGCTTCTCACTAATTAGCAGGATTTAGTATGTTGGCCATAAGGTTAGACTAGAATTTGGTTTGTAGGTAAGTCTGACTCCTCAATCAGCAGATTGACTCCTACCTGCTCACTATGAGAAGCCATATAACAATCTCATACAACATACTTGTTCTCGATCAAGATGAAAGCCGAAATCCCTTAATAGAGGGAATTTTGCACTTTGTCTGTTCCTATTTTCTCTAAACAGTCGCTTAGCTTGATTTGACTAAAACTACTGCCAAGATACATTTCGAAGACTCTACTGGCCTTAACAAGTCTTCTTTACCTTGTCTAGACGTATCATTGTTGGTAAGAGGTAGAAAAGTCTAAGGTAGTACTTGTACAAGTTCTAAGATTGTTATACAAATTGTACAGTATAACCGAGAACAAGTATCTGATAGCTTAGTAGGATTTTGTTCACAGCGGGCATGTTAAAAAATTAGGCTTTTTATTTTTTCAATATTAGGATGTATTTACTGAAACTTTATAGCTTTTTCAAGTATGCCTAATTTCAAGCAATGCCTGCAATTCAGTAAGTGAGTAGTTGCACTGAATACTTAAGATCCTTTGTACCGTCAGGTATAATGGAAAAATTTGAATGTGATGTAATTTTTCTTGATACATTTTCCTCGATTTACATTGAATTTGATTAACCTGAGAGAGACTGATTGTTTGGTAGCTCAACTGCAGAGCAATGTGTTCAGTGATGACATTAAAATATGAGCTAGGAAGTTCAGCTACACTCAGCTCACAGATGATGGAGAGCACCAAAGCACATAACAAATTCAAAGACCTTAAGTATTCAGCGCAACTGCCTATAAAATAGAACAGCTAACCAATTACATGCACATTCTGAAAGATCGAAAAGCTCACCTTGCTGTGCGTAGATGAAGGCGTGATAGGTGGCGTTTCTGTAGAGGAGGGGCTTAGACGACCGTCGACGGAGTTTGAGCATGGCAGCCGTTGCTCCTGTACGCTTGCCAACCTTTGTAATAAGAACATGTTACAGTATCACGACTGACTGAACTGAATTTATGGATACAAAGACAAAGGTAGTCGATATTGAGACGAGTACCTTATTGGTCATGAGCCTGAACTCGCGTACAACTAGAGATCAGATATGTACCAAAGGGAAGTTATGTCCAGAGTAAACACGCCGTGGAATGACTTTATAATCCGCCGTACCCATACACCTTGGGATTCCTCTGCATTATAGTATAAGGAAACCGATCGCAAATTTTTGGTGACATCATCGCCTACAGATGTGATAAAAACTAGTCACATCTCACGTATTTTGATGCTGAACAGCAAACTTGCCGAATTTTAACATATCATATCATTATGCGATGTAACCAAAACTTTGCGGTCGGTTCTTGGACCATTAGTAATCTACCGATGAAAACCGCGATCTGCGAGCGGACCGCCCTTGGTTTCGCTCATAGATGGCGCTGCATGTACCTAGACAGTGTTGCCGAACTGCCATGAATTGTTTAGAAAACACTTCATTTACACTGAGCCGATTGGAGCTCATTCTTTTTCACGTTTTTCTGTGGTTACCTTGAAAATTCATACGTAATAAGTAAGAATAACGTCTTAATTCTAGACCGTCTAGGTAACTGGCAACTATGTCGAATAGATTAGCGGACAATTGGTAAAATAAGCTATTTGAGGTTGGAAAAGTTTTGAAGTTCAAACTGACAATCCTCGTTTGTTACTAAACGAAATAGTGGAACATTTTGCGTAGCATCCTAAAAGCTAATTAGCAGTTTATTGAATTTTAATTTCAATCTTCAATTCAAGACAGTTGTAACCTCTAAGAATACTGAGTTTTTTACTATTTATGAATTTATTTCGTATGTAAGAAGCTTGGAGAAAGTTTGTCTGTAATACTAACGCTAGGGAGGATGATAAACGAATCAGTATTAATGTATGGTGTACACTCTGTTATTTCCCAAAATATGGCATTACTGCGTGAGGCCACTCTAGTGAAATATCTGGAGTGTTTGTATTACAAAAGAAAATAATAATTCGCATTATATTTTGAATACTGTTTGGATCCTCTCGCCGTGAGGCATTTGTTAAGCACAAAATACTCGCAATGACATGAATATGTCTTTACAGTCTTTTAAGATATATTATTCAGCACATAAATGATTATCTTAAGCATACCGAGCTCCACGACTATTTATCCTACATAATTTTTATTGGCTTTTTCAGAATTCGTTTGCGGAACAGGCTATCGGATTGCGCTTTTTATGACTTGGGTAAATTTGTAACATACCAAAATGCGTCTAGTTAATCTTAATAGATTGCCATGTATGTATTTATGATATTTTATTTTTATGTTACAATTGTTGTTTATATTTCACTTCATTTTATCTAATCCTCAATCTGTATATACCGATTTATCCAATGTATACAATGTAGATCTAACCGTACGGATAAATCAATCTGAATCTAATAACTTACAGGTTCCGAGAATAATGACTTTCCCGAAAAGTGTGATTTATCACCTTGTTCAATGAAAAATATATTTCGTAGGTTGGAAACAGACGATAAATGTCCAACTCATGAATAAATGTCCAAACAAAGGAAAACTTGAGCAGAAAATATATTCACTACAAGTGATGACCAATGAGTTCATTCAAGAACGATTATCTGACAACACCTCGCTTATCTTGTGTTTAGACGCCATCAACTGTTTTGTGGACGCCATATTTTAGGATACATCCCTTATCTCTCTCTAATTTATTAACATGTATAGTATAACTATCTTCCTATCTTCTCTTGGTACAACTACTCTTTGGTTATATCGTATGTAATATAAAATGGATAAACAGTACATCTATATAACGAAAATGAAGGATTATGCTCTGCACAAGAAATTAAGCGGATCAAGTCAGTCAAACAGGTCTAACATATAGTTACCGAGGTTGGATGCGTATAAATATACTGTCATAAAAAAATAAGATACAAATTCACTTTGGGTCAGAAACGTCACTGACAGAAAATGACGTCTTTATTAACGCCATTTTTATGATGACAACAAGACATTCTTTAAAAGGCTATCATTTTGACGTCTTTTTAGGACATTACAAAAAAATCAACACTTACCTACAAAGAAAATACAGACATTTAATGGACATGTCGGTAAACTAGATACCCAAATACTAATAACTACTTTATTGTTTCTTATAAAAAAGTAACAGGATTTCTTCGACCAAAGATATCTGGTTAATATGACTTTTCTAATAATAATATTTCATGTTTAGCTATTTCAAATTGCCATTTTACATCATGTTTTATTCTCGTAAATAACTAATTTATTAGAAACTCCACTGTATAACAATAAACAGGTTTTACTAGAATATTGTAATTAAGAGCAGTAAAAATGTAGAGTTTGGAACGACTGTGCTTGGCGGTGAGCTTGACCGATGCACAAACAAATTCTGAATCATCGGACGACTGGAACGAGTTTGAAATCAAACGATGTTTTATTAACCATTTCGATTTACTTTGTACACATGCTTCTGAAAAATTGCGAAGGTCTCGGAACCAGAGGATTTAAGAAAGGTAGAAGATGGGTTTCGGCGTCTTTCTACCACTCCTGAACTAACTGCTTGTGGGACGTCGTTGTCACATCCTCAATTTTTCAGGAGTATTAGGAACACAGCGCGATTATTTTTGCGAGCGACTGTACGTCATATCGACGTCACATAGACGTCATATTGACCTGATAGACTTCATATCCACGTCATACAGACAACATATCGACATTGTATTTGGTCTTTTATACGACATACTATGACATCATCTAATGACGTCAATTGACGTCAATTCTACATCATTTTTATTGGTCGGCGTACGTCAGAGTGCCCTGAAAATGCCGACATTAGGACGTCGTTAATAAGCGTGGGAATTAAAAGGGGGAAATTATTCAAGTAGCGTCTAGCGTTGCTTTTCACGAGGTTGGCTAGATCGACAGACTTCACCTCTCCACTTGTGACACGAAAGATAAGTACTTTACTTCAAACTGCACCTCGTGTTTGCTTCCACTAAGCACAAATTCAATCGTTTACCTACTATCGATTTAACACCGTCGAGTAGGCGTATAGTCGGAGGGGTGCATTTTTGGCAGCACGGATACACCTGATATCTACTCAAGCGTTGTAACTGTACCAAGTACGGATTTCTCTGGCACGTAGACACAACGACTTGTGACCTATAGGGAACCTAAATACCAAACCCTTAATCAACTTCGCCACTCTCGTGAAACACTAGCGCTACTCGAGTAGGAAATTATTTTGATCACATTAATTTAGTAGTAAATACATGGAGAGGAAGTAACTATGACAAATAAACAGGCACCTTTAGGCTATGTGAAAATGGAGTGACGCTTATGCTTATCTATTGTAATTAAATTGTAAGCCTGGATGGAAATGAAAATAAGGGCTCAAGCTGATTTCTCCCTAGGATAAATAAAGGCATTACTAATAATATTATTGTTATTATTATTATTTCTCCCTTTTGCATTACCTTTCATTGCGAAGATATCACTTTTCCTACCGAGAGTGAGTCATACTCCTAGGGCAGGTAAGTTTTGTTTTATAAGTTACCGCTTTTCGTACAATGTGTGCTGTTTTAAGCATCACCGTTTTCTGTAAGCTTTTCAGGAATATCTTTTATGATATGCTTTTTATTATAGTACCAGTTACACCTATTATGATTGGTATTATTTTTGCCTTCATATTCCACATTTGTCGTATCTCAATCTCCAGGTATTTGTATTTATTGAGTTTTTCGGCCTCCTTTCGAAAAACATTGTAGTCAGATGGTAAAGCAACGTCTACAATATTGCAGGTTTTATTGATCTTGTCCTTTATGATAATATCTGGCTTGTTTGCGGAAATATGCCTGTCTGTTAGGATCTGCATGTCATAAAGGATTGTTACGTTTGATGTTCCCATCACGGGCGGTGGATTGTGGAGATACCACTTGTCATTATGACTCCAAAATACTTAAGGCGGCTCCGACGCAGTGAGTCTCAAGCCATTTACATGATTTCAGCTGCTTCAAAACTGACACTCCATTTTTCAATATTTTTGAATGAAATTCATACAGTATGTTGAGAAGATAATTGCCCAGGGTGCTATAGGAGCACTTTTTGAAATTTTGTTTTTGCACAAGTTTTATGATGGGTTGAAGTGCGCACTTTTTCTGTTCAACTTAGCGATTTTTTTAAAAAGAACCTAGTGAAAAAATTAAAAAGTGGCTCTATAGCACCCTGTGGGGTTTTGTTTTCAGCACTCTGTGAAAATTTCATCCAAGAATAATAAAAAAATAAAGCGTCAATTTTGAAGCGCGCAAACCTCTACAAATCGTATTTTCGACGAATTTTGTCTACTGTTTCGTTCTGCCAAACCAAGCGTTGCGGCGCAATGTACGGACTAAGAAAGGACGTATTCAGATAACTTGGTGGCCCTATTTCATATAACATCGCGTAGATAAGTCGTTCTGCAAATAGGTGCTCATATTCGCGATCTCTAATACTGCTCAATTTTACTTCCCACGTCATTGGCGAGGAAGTATTGTAATCGCGAAAAATTTCTAAAATGAGATGTTATGTTTTTTTAAGTCATATGACATCTACATCACGAAAAACTGTATCACTCATCATCAACTTGGAAATTACCGCTCGGATTTTTATGAAATTTCCACTCGCGGTTACTAGTATTTCAAAGCTTTGTAGTTTTAGTCCCGTGGCAACGGTGCTATAGGCAAACAAGAAAAAGTAACAATTGCTGAAACTCCGTTTTTGACGTTTCAGGGGTTCCTAATCATTGACATAAATTGTACTGCTTAAAAGCGGGGGTTGAAATCAGTAAAACACGTTCTATTATTAAGAAGCTTCTGATCCCAGTGATTACAGGAAATTTAAGTAACGAAAATCCGACGAATAATGTGCTCACGATTTGAAAATATGGG